AGCAGTTGAGTTGCACCTTAAACCAACATCCTCCACTTCCTAAATGGGAAGAAAAATACTTCCTAAAAATACTATCTAAAATCATCGGTAGTATATCTATTCTTTGTGTTATGCTGCTCTCTACTATTCCTTTCCAAATCAGATATGTGAGTAACAATAGCTCAATTTCTTACTCTCTTCATTTTCTGCTCTTCCAAATCCCTGCAGAACATCAGTATCATTTCCTACTAGTTATTTCTTCATTATCAGGGAACATATTACTTTTTTTCTTAAGCAATTAGAAAATTATTTCTATTTGAAGTATCAGTGATCTGAGCTTTTTTATAATGTATATTAATACAGGAAAAATAAATGTCACATAGAAAACTTTTTTTCTTCGGACAAGTCACATCCCCTCCTCTGAGCAGTGTAGTCACTGCAGAGCGAAAGACTTGTCTCTGCTTTGAGAGATGATGTGGATTTAAGTAATCATCCCTTTCATGCTGATACAAATAAACTCATAAATGATGGAAAAAGGAAATGAGGTAGCAGTAATGGAAAAAAGCACTTTGTTATCAGTATGAGAGTGTCTGTGATAAAAGCTTCACTTCTTAACAGCTTTCGTTTAAAAAAACAACCCTTTGTAGCTGCATATAAATTTATCCTAAGTACCAGAAAACAAATATTAATGATAGGGGGTATTGTTTTTATTAAAAAGACCATGATTTTACCAGGTTCAAGCTTCTTGAACACTGATGTTGAAAACATTGTCTTAGTACTCATGCTCCAAGTATTCATATGCTTTTCAGAGTCAGAACCAGAAGACAGTATGGTATCCGGTCTGTCACTACTAGCCAAAAGAATTCATTAAAGCATATGGAACAGTGAATGCTTTAATAAAGTGTCTACCATCAGCGCACAGAATTAAAACAAATTGCAAAGAAATTTGGCAGAAATTCTGGGGAAAAACAAAAAAAAGCCCTATAGATAGTACCCTGTGGAAATCGAAAACTGCTTCTGTTAATTCTTTGTGCAGAACAGGAAGTTAAATTTGTTGGATAAATTACTGACTGTACATTATATGCAGCTAATTTATTTGAGATTATTGGTTTATATAAATTTCCAGTAGGGAAAAATTCGCATCTTCCTTATCCAGAAAAGTGTTTGCAGAATCTGCATATTTTGGGAAGAGATCAGAATAAGCACACAACAGGAAAAAAAAACAAATTCCATCCTTACTTTTAGAAACTAATAAAAGGACTGCAGAGTTTATACAAATCATGCTACTATGCAAAAGAGGTTTATACAACATATTATGGTCTGGATAACTTCATTTTCTTTCCTCACACTGTACTACCGATGAAGTCAATGAACTGTTCGAAACAGGCCACTTGAATTTTGGTACAATCCAAATTTATATTTTGCAAAAGAAGTTGGTGTTTAGCTGGAATGATTTTAAAAGCCCTTTTAGGCAGCATCTGATTGATGGGTCTGTTCTTCAGCTGTACTCTTTTCACATAGTAAGTAACTCTATATTCTACTCTATACTCTCAGGGTTATATTGCAAATGCTTGCTTAACGGATTCCAATCCCTAGGCTGGAGATAGCCAGGACTAGCAAAAAATTATCCAAAAAAGTTAACAAGATTGCTCAGACCAAAAAGAGCTAAACATTGCTTGTATGCGTGCCCGTATACCACTTTCAGTTATAGGAATGAGCCCTTTCTCCCCAGACTTAAGAGAATATTCAAAAAATACTTTTAAAGCAATTGCAGTACTTATATCCTTTTTTCTTTGTCTTATTTTTAGAGTTCTTTTTTCCTAATAGATTTAGTGCAAGGTCAATCTTTTCGTTATAAACATACAGAAATACTTCATTTACCTAATTCTTATGTTATTCAGAGACTCTTTAAAAGTGAGAGCCTACTTATCTAAAAGATCAAATGACAAAGACATGAGTACACTCCTTCACTAATTCTAGGTCAGAGAAGATTAGAATATTTCTTGTACGTAGAATTTTCATCCTCTTTTCTATACTATTTCATAGAAAGCGCCTTTTCTTGCACGTAGTATTCACATCCTGCATTCAATATGGTAGTCCCATGTGCAATATCAAAGTCTGCCAGAGAGCATGCAGAAGGCACTGTGCTCATCCATTGTTAGATGTACTATATCCCATTATGTTGCCATGTATTCCATTTGCCCATATGGTCAGCAAAATGTTTGCCAGCTCTCTTTCACTGAAGAAACAAGAAATATAGAAAATGATCGAAAAGGGTAGCTGGAGAAGCAGGTTATGTATATAAAATTCCTGGACGTGGTTGGGTAGTACACAGAGAGCAGCCAAAGGAAATTTAAGTAAAGGTGCGAGATCCTTTCATTATTATAATACTCACGATTTCTAGGTAGACTTTTAAAACGGTATGAGGTGGCATATTCTTTCCTTGCTTGTTTTTCTGACAATTCTCCTACTGAGATAAACCAACATATTTACACAACATCCTAATAGGAAGGTCAGTGTCCAACATTTATGACTTAATTCAGAACATCCCCCTGTCATTGTGCTCTCCTTTTACATTTTAATACGCCTGTGAAGCAGGATTGAATTTTGCTTTACACTGATAGGGTCAGGTTATGTAGGTCACAATTAAAAGGCGTCACTTAGGATTTATTGTAACTATTTTTCTCAGCTCTGGTGCTGACTGTCATAGCTCTGCTTTCTTTAATGAAACTTTCATTATAAATATGTCCTGTTTTCCAGAAAGTTTAAAATCATAATATTTCAAGTAGCTGATGAGAAAGCTGTTTGAGTTTATCTTTTATTATGATGTTCCCATTGCTCAGCTTCAGTTATTCCGCATCCTTTTTTCTGCTCTAAAGTATGTTGTTAGATTATTTACGATGATTGTCTGCATAGTGCAGACCATACAATTTCATCTATCTGCTCTTCTGTATTTCACCTGCACTTGTTTCAAATGAAAATGTCTACTTTAACATATTCTCTAGAAAAAAGCCAAGAATATTGTTTATATAGAGACTGACACCAGTTGCAACCTTTAATATATTCTTTTTTAATGTGACTCAATAAGCATAATAGTACCTTAGTAATAGTAACAAACTCACACTTTAACGCTGGAAATTTTGATCTAGTATCCCTGTTTATGCAATACAGGAATCATAACATTTACTTATAATTTCTGTATCGTACCATTACAAAAACAGTTGAAGAGAAGTGAGGAAGAAACAAAGGAGAAGAAAGTGTAGCAAAGTCGGGGCAGGGTAGAGCAAAGCTCTAACAAATATGGCCATAAGGGAAAAAATTAAATATTAATGAAAATACTTATTTCCCAAAGGCCTGACCAGCAAAGAAGGCTGAAAGAGATAACTCGCTAACCAAAGGAACACACTGGCTGAAAAACAGATTATCACTGAAGTGAAAAACCAAGGCAGCTGACATTAATAATTAACTTAGAAGGTTTCCTGTGGAGGTTTAGATGAGCTACAGGCACTATGTGTAAAGTTCCTTGACTACCAGATTGTTATGTCCTATTTCAGAGAAGCTCATATTAACATGTACAACCTATATTAAGTTTGCCTGGTCTAAGTTACCTGGCAGGAAGTTCCCAGTCCTAATTGGGAATTTTTATCTGTGCTGAAAGCTGTACCTGCTGTGCTATAGAAATGAAAGCTGACGGGCTACACCTTGAGATGGTGGTGGGAATCGCTCTGCCAGTGTCTAAATAGATGCTCTTATCTCATGCTCACACTGTGTGCGTCTCTGTGCCTCTCACATGTTTGTCCTTATATGCACGGGAAGGACTGTCAGAGTAGGTTGCAATGTCAGATGCTCAGAGAGGAGGGGAAATGGAATAATATAATGAGAACTTGACTTGCGTAATGAAACCGTTTTTTTTTTCTCCACTGTATTGAGCTTTGCCTCTGCATACTTGTGAATGTGACTATTCTCGCACACAGGATAGATCACCCAAAGCAGCAGCTGTGGCAGGTAACTAAGCAGTCTGATTGTAATCTGGAGGAGCCACATTATCCCTAAAAGGAAGCTAGTAGGGGAACAAGGCCAGATTCTCCTTTGTCGTCTCATGCTTCAGGAATTTGTCCTGCCCTCAGGGGTTATGGTGGTGGCTGTGGGTCGCAGCCCGGAAGGGCTGAAAGTTCCCTGGTCGTGGAGAAGAGGATCTCAGAGGTTTCCTACACAAATATAACATACCAAGTATAGAAAAGGAACTTTATCTTTGTAACTTAATGTTTCTCTAGTCAAATACCACACTCATGTCCATACATATTCAGATGAAGCTGCTCATATTTTGGACTGGGTTTTCAACTGTTGAAAACAAACCTATGGCATGTTAATGTTACTGATTTTACCAATGCAATAGGTAAAAACACAGAGATCAAACATACATTGTGCTGATATGTAGTGTGCTAGTCATGCGATAGATAAGAAGGAAAAATGTATTGTAGAGAAAAATAAGAATAATCTGTTCTGAGTAAATAGCAGTTGTTCAAATGTACTAGTAGATGCTTTACACAGTAAGCGAACTGGAAGAGATTAGAACCTATTTCAACCCAATTTGCAGGTAGTGAAAGTGTCTGAATTTTGCTAGAGCAGGTTATTCTTTTTGGTGTGGTTTGGTTTTTCTTTTTTTTATGCTTTATAACAAGTATCAGCATCTTATATCAGGAAATAAAGAAAACATGCTAAGCTATGTGCTTGAAATAGGCCTGCTGTGAAAGGCACGTGTACAAAATCCATACAGCTTTGGTGTGATATCCATCCATAACATGCAGAACACTGCCACAGACGTTTCAGCTACCCATTAACATGGGTAACTACTGGAACAAAATTCCTCTGAGAACCTGTCAGAATACCTTGCATATCAGGAGCTCTTTGGAACTAGACTTTTAATTGCATTAGGACTCGCTTTGTCTTTTGAATTGTCTATCATATTACTGTAAGATATTTTTAATTTTCCTAACAGAGATTTTTCTTTGTATAACCAGGCTAAGCTTTAATGAAGAAACGTCAACGTTGCTAACAATTGCGCGAAGAGGGACTGAAGACCTTTGCGACCAATGATGTGGTTGTCATGGAAACTGTTTCTGTTTCTGTCGCTCACTGGGTGTCTTTCAGGTAAAAGCAAACAAAACCAAGAAAACTCTGCTTATTGTTTCCACACTTTTTAACGTAAAATAGAAATAGGGAGATGTAAAAGCATGCCAGAGAAAATCGACATCGTTATTAAAACTATTTGTCTAAATCCTGAGACTGTAAGAATTTATAAATAAGAGATTTACAAGTGTCTTTACATCTGCCTTTAATTTGTAGGTAAAACTGAGTAGCATTAAGAACGAAGGGAAGGTGGAGCAGCTGCACATCTAATTTGAAAAGACAATGCTAACTTTATTATTAGAAAGGGGGAAAAATTATTTGGAAAATGATTGATTAGCAAAGCATTTTCCTAAAGACTAACAGCAGCAGAATTGTTTGATGATTTGCCATCTGCAAAATTCTTACCATGTCCTGATTTTTCAAACTATTTATCAAGTTACTTTTTCCTTTCTTAACACCGTATGGGGTTTATTGATTATTCTGACTTTCGTCTGTGTACTCAGTGTATTTCTTTTGCAGTCTTATTTTTCCTGTGGCATTAGCTTAGTTGGCATTATCTTTTTAAGTAATAAAATGAGTTAATCAATAATCAATAATAACTGGCTTCCCACATGAAAATCCTTGTAATTTGATAGCATATTGTCTCTAATTGATCTTTTTGCTGGTGCATTTTCTTAATGCTGCCCCTTATACTGTCTGTCAAAAGTTTACCAAGCCACCTTCTCCTCAAATTCTTCCAAAGCTTAGTGATTTTTTGACACCATGAGAACAAATTGCGTAATAGACAATTAAATGAAATTTGAGAATTTGTTAAAATACTGTGGTATTGGAGGTAGGAATGTAAACAGAGAGTCTGGAAATGGATATCAGTGAATGTGCATTTGATCTATATGTAACGTGGCTTAATCTAGTATGTTTTTTCTCATATAGCTTGATTATCTTGTGTTTTCTAAGTCCATTTTTCATGATCCTAGAACTTTGGAACAGGGATTTTGTTTTTTTTTCCTATATCGTTAGGCATGCTATCAGTCTTGGTAACATTTGTATTTTGGTAATTCTAGATTCTAGAAGTAGAGTCATACAGCCACCATCTATTAATGTAATTTTATTTCTCTTAAGTTGAAAACTATGCTTTTTATTGTTTCGGTTTCCAAGAACTTTGACACAAAATCGAGGAACATTTTGGAAGTTCATATCTAGAATTCCTACTTAAGAATTATGTCTTCAAAATTGCAGTCTTTATGATTAAAAAGTCAACATTTAGCAGTAGGTATTATATAGGGAAATTAACGTGTCTGAGTCTGTAATTGGTTTCACATGGCTGGAATTTCTTTACCATCTTTTAAGTCAGCTATGGTTAAAAAGAATGCCTGTAAGTGGTAGTGTTTGCTTCAAACAGGACTAACTAAGCCCACACCACACTATAACATGTTGCAAAATTCTGCGATGCATTTCGTATACTGGAGAGTCCATATATTAGAATTCCATATACAGGAATGAGTTTCACCTGTTGTATCTGTCTCAGTCATTTTTCAGGTACGTCTACTAAATGAAAATCTTGCAAAGGCTTGAGAACATTAGCAGCGACCAACATTAACATAACGCTAAAATAAGAAGCTACTTTGGAATTTGAACTGGAAATCACTATTTACAGGAGTATTTTATTTAAGCAATATTATTATCCTGAAAACTCTTACCAGTCATTCAGCACTATGTTTAAATCAGGTTACTACTCCTCTTTTGTGTTAATTTTTTACTTATCCCTGAAACTTCCTGAAGCATTCCTCTTCTTACATTTCATAATTAGTCAGCTCGATCTCTGACCTGCTGTTGTTTTGGAATGTGACTTTTTATGATCCTTAAAGGATTATTCCATATTACTGGAGTAAAATTAGAGTCCTATTAGAAATCGTTTTTAACAATAGTACTTGTTTTCACATGCTGTTGCAGATATTGTGATAACACATGTGTTTTCTCGCATACATAAATAACTTTTAAAATAATTTCATTAATAACAATTACTCATTAGCAAATTTAATACTATGAGCTGAAATTAATCAAAGATAACAAAATTGAATTCAAAGTTGTTTTGATTAGATTGTCAACGTAACTAGTAGTTTCCTGTCACCGTACCTTTCACATTTGATTCTATCATTCTGCATTTGTAGCTGCTTTTATATTGCACTCACTACAACATGTTTATTGCTACAAATAGTTTCCAGACCTGACGCAATTCAATGTAGCCTGGTAAGTTAGACGCCTGAATGCACTGTTTTTAAAGATAGGGCAATAGGTATTGATGCTACTTCAGTTAGATAAAGTTCATTCAATTCCTGTTGTTTTGGGCTATGTTAAAATTCAGTACTTATCCATTAAATCATGAGATCATGGTATCATTCTTATCAGCAGCCAATGTTTGGAAGGGAGTACTACATTGTTATATTGATTTTTACAGTGGTAAGGGAAATCGTCCAAGAAGATGATGGATGGTCTTTCTAGTTTGTCTCAACTCTATTTTTCTATTATTTTTATCTTAAAGCTGGCCTAAGTATTTCAGGTATTGCTTATGCATTAAGGCATGCAAATGTGCTTGAGTAATGTGCAAAATGATTTGTGGGTGGACAAAAATGCACTTTTTGAATGCCAAACTAAGGGTTGAATTGTGTCTCTTACTCAAATTTAGTTATTTTAGCATAAGTAAAAAGTAGTCTTGGATTACAGATCACAGATGCCTGAGAAGGTTTATGTTTATGAAATGTTGACAATTAATAGAATTAAAGGAGGTCTTAGGATTGATACTCAGTCTTTTCTTATGGCATATAATGTCTTTCCAGCCTAATTGGAGCTGAAGAAGAATTGGGATGCCATTTTAGATCTGTGGTCTGCTCGCTTCTGAGTCAATACTGGGAAAAAGAACTTGTGTTTTCTTGTTGGTTTTGATTTTTTTTTTCTTATGAGACTTTTCTGTAGAAAAAGAGAAGAGATTATTAAGGAATAACTGTTAAACTGAAGTTCAGAGTGGTCTTCTGCAACTGGTTAGCTTCGCGTAATATTTGAAGTGAATTCAGAGGGGGCTGGCCTAAATTTAAATTAAGTTAATTATAATTTAATTTGCTGTGGTAATGTTTAGCTTTACTGAGAGTTAAACAAGAAACACACAATTATAAATTGTATGTTTGAGGCACTTTAATTGGAATAGCAACAAATTACAAGGGTACATTGATTTATCCTTTCTGTGGAAACCCATAGAATGATATAGGATATGGCATAAAAAATTTTGTGTACTGGTTGATACACTCATCTCACATGTATTCTCGTATTTCTCGTGTGTTGTCATGAGATAATGTTTTGGACAACACTGTCCTATGTGCAACAGCATTGGGGTGCATGTTCCAGGATTGGGGACAGAGGATTTACTGGCCTGGATCCCCATGTTTGTTTGACGAATTGTTTTTATGTATATAGTAAAGATTGTTATTTTTGGTTCATATTGCTAACAGCTAAGCAAGAAATATCTTCTTTGGCTGAAGTTGCTAAGGTTTTTTTGCACTGATTCCTCAGAGAAGCTGGAATTGAATATAGCTGAAAGGTATTGTTCTAGAACAGTGCTCCCTAACCTTGGAATAAGACAAACAGGAATGTCTCTTTGTGTTTCAGTAGGAAGAGAAATATTTTTTTAAGAAGAACCAAAATCACATCAGATTATCAGCTCAGGGTTAATGGAAAAAGTGAGACCTTGGCTTTTATCTGACTACGTAAGATGTTTGACAAAAGCTGTCTTGAGAGTAGGGCTCCCTGCCGTTCTTTTTCATAATTATTGCTGCTTGTGACAAGGTGCTTCAAAGTTTAAAGATATTCTAAAGATTACATAATGCAGTCAATGGCATTTATAGAGTTCTGATTCTTTCTTAATCTAACACATATATCTAACATATACTTTATACCTTGTTGTGCCCCTGCCTATATAGCTACTTTTTCTCAGATGTTACTTGCTGCTTATTAGTTGGACAAAAGACTCATTTTATCAATAAGATTTTATAATCCATGGCAGCAATAAAACTGTGGGTATATCAAGAGTAGCAAGGCTTATCAAGATGGAGCCAGTACCTCTGAGATCCAGTAGTCACTGCTCATAGAGCTAAGTGAGAAAACACTTGTTTTTAAAACTCGTCTATATGTGCCGTTCTTTTATTTTAGTATACAACATTCTCGCTATCAAACAAAGACTCCCTAAATAGTGAATTTTCCTCTGTATCCCTCCGTATGATGCTCAAAATTAAAAACAGCATGACTTTTTCTGAACAGTTGCTTACATGGCATACATGAATGGAAGAGCATAAAAAAAAAGCTCTTAAGAGAGCGTATGTGGAACAAACAGAAGTGTCCTGTCTAGTTTTGACCTACTGCTGGCAGTGGTCTGAGGTGCTTCCTGCCTTTTATTATGTCCATCCCTCTCCATCTGGCTACTTGGAGGCTTCTAGGAATTCTCTGTCATTTGGACTTAACGCCTTCCAAAATACATGTCAAACCTGTTCAATATGTGACTTCCATAATTCCAGCAGCTGCTGCCAGGATTAAAATTCATAGCCTAAGGTTCATCAGCTCATGAACCAAACCCTATAAAGTATGCACACCACTCTGAGTATCAGGGCTATTTCTCTTTTTTTTCTCCCCGTTTTAGACAATGTCTGTCCTATGTGAGAGTTGGCAGTATGTGAAAGTTTGCTTCTCTGCCAAGTAAATGCTTAGTGAAAGCATGAATGACCAGTGTTTATCATTGATAAGCCCTTGCAATTACCCATCTTTTTTTTTCTTCCCTATTGATCACAGTATGGCAAATAGCGTGCAACCTTCTCACCTTTGATAGCTGAGCATAAAAGAGAGGAGTCACAGCTGCAGATAAGTACTACTGCCAGGGGACATTCACCTTTTTAGCGCTCCTTTTCTAATGGAAAAGTCAAAACACACTTAAACCTCCTACTAGCATCCTGAAATACTATATTCTATATTTGCAGACAATA